TCTTCTCGGCACCCTTCCCAGAAAAGAAATGGCATAGTGCCGAATTTTGATCCTGGCTGGGAATTCTGGGAGTTGAAATCCACAAGTCACAAAGGGGCCATAGTTCCATACCTCTGGCATACAGCATCTGCCAAAGGGGTTGTTTTTCCGATCGGGACTATCTGTAAGCAGCAGTGTTGCCCAAATGAGTTGCCATCAGAACGAACAGAATAACCGAGTTGGAAGGCACCTTGGAGGTGTTCTAGTCCAACCCCCTGCTTAGGCAGGAAACCCTACACCACTTGAGACAAAATGGTTATCCAACCTCTTCTTTAAAAACTTCCAGTGATGGCGCCCCCACAACTTCTGGTGGCATGTTGTTCCACTGGTTAATTGTTCTCACTGTCAGGAAATTTCTCCTTAATTCCAGGTTGCTTCTCTCCTTCATTAGTTTCCACCCATTGCTTCTTGTCCTACCCTCAGGGGCTTTGGAGAATAGCTTAAACAGTTTAAACAGTAACAGAGTTGGAAGGGACCTTGGAGGTCATCTAGTCCAGCGGTCTGCAATCTTAAACACTCAAAGAGCCATTTGGACCCGTTTCCCACAGAAAAGAAAACACCGGGAGTCACAAAAACCCTTCCTGTGCCTGACTATTTCTTGAGCGGCCACAAAACTAGCAAATGTAGTCGAATTAAACGTTCTGTTTTCTTCTGAAACTTTTCTTGGATTTATCCATGGTTGGCCTACCGGGGGTGGAAAAGCTCAATAAATCGTGTGTCAGTGGGTGTCGCACATTGGCGGTTGTGATGCATATTTTGAGTGACTGGGAGCCGCAGCAGAGGGGTGAAAGAGCCACATGCGGCTCCAGAGCCGCAGGTTGCTGATCCCTGATCTAGTGCAACCCCCTCTTCACGCAGGAGATCTGTACTAGGGATTCGAACCGCCAAACTGCCAACCTTTCTGATCGACAATCTCAGCGTCTTAGCCACTGAGCCACCTAGCCAGGGAGCTTGACTCCCTCTTCTTTGGGGCAGCCCCTGAGATATTGGGGCACCCATAGTCATTATTTTCATCAAACTAGACATACCCAGTTTCTGCAACACAATACCCATGGTCCCCAGCTACGTCTGGGCATCTTTAAGACAGAGTTAACTCCCTTGGATGAGCAGGGTGATGGGCTACTGGCTCCCTCCTTCCCCGGCCTCCCTCCAAGAAAATTCACTTTATTCCCGACGCTGAGAATTAAAAGATTTTTAAAAGAAGGTTGGAATTCTTTCCTCTTTTTTGGGGGGCATGGAATTTGTCCTACGGATGAAAGATTGATCCGCTCCTGTCACACACACACACACAAAATCCTCCCCGCATCTGCATTCACACACTCTTAATCTGGATTACGCTAAACTCAACTTTATGGACATGTAAATCCATTGTCTGTTAAGTCAAAGGGTTTTAAGGCATTGAAGGCCTCCTGACATCATAAGCAGGCAAACGCTGCACATTTTTTGGATTCTAACACAAAATTGTGTCATTAGCGTCGTTACGGAAATGTCACCGACGACATCAATTTTTAAGGATTTGCATACATTTATATCTGCCTCGGTTCGTAGTAGATTACGGGGGAATAAATGCAGAATCCTTGCAGATGTTTAGTGCAATTTGGAGCGAAGGCATTAATTTACGTTGAGGACTTATGCATGTAGCACAAAGCCTAATTATACGTAAAAACTAGCTTTTGTGCATTGTTAAGGGATATATCGAGGACCAAGCCTACTTATTAAATCTGGAAATTGAGAAATCTGAATCGATTAAACCGAGATTTCACCGCGTTGTTCACACTTAGAACCACGGCAGCGACCTCGTGGACACGTGATCAAAAATTCAGATCCCTGGCAAATGGTTGCAGTTTGGCAACCTTCTGACAAGCCAAGTCAAACGGGGAAGCTGGATTCGTTTAAACGACCGTGTCATGGACTTCACAACTATAGTGATTCACTTAATGACGGTGTTCAAGGAAGGTTGTAAAACTGAACGACAATGCTCACTTAACTACTCCCGCTTCGGAGTGAAAATGCTGGGTTCGGTTGTGATCGTAAGTTGAGGACTACCATACATTTCCATATATGTCAATCGCAGAGGCCAGAGAGCTTCTTCCCTTGTCAATCACAAGGCGAGAGAGCCAATAGGGTTTGATTTTAGCAGGAAGAGGGAGGGGATTGACTTGAACCCTACGTGCTCAGTTTTCTCTAAGGGAGTGAGAATCAACCTTGCTGGCTGGCGAATGCTGCTCTAAGAAAGCAGGAACTACGCTCCAAGGCAGATGGGATGCATTCAGACAACACGCAAAACTGGAGCGAACCCGGGTTTGGGGGGAGGGATTTTCCTTGAAATTTTCCCGACAATGAGAACAATTAAATCAGCTTTGCCTCCAGAAGTTGTGGCTTGCTCCCTCGCTGGAGGTTTTGACGGTCGGTTTGGACAACCGTTTGTCTGAAAGAGTCTAGGTTTGCCATCACGGATCTAGGGTCTCCTGCCTGAGCAGGGGGTTGGACTAGAAGACATCCAAGGTCCCTTCCAACTCTTCTATTCTATTCTATTCTATTCTATTCTATTCTATTCTATTCTATTCTATTCTATTCTATTCTATTCTATTCTATTCTATTCTATTCTATTCTATTCTATTCTATTCTATTCTGAATTATATTGTACTCTACCCTACACTCTATTCTATTCTATTCTATCCTACATTCTATTCTACCCTACATTCTATTCTGAATTATATTGTAATCTACCCTATACTCTATATTCTATTCTATTCTATTCTATTCTATTCTATTCTATTCTATTCTATTCTATTCTATTCTATTCTATTCTATTCTATTATCCTATCCTATCCTATTCGCAATTTGGCAGTTCAAATCTCACCAGGCTCAAGGTTGACTCAGCCTTCCGTCCTTCCGAGGTGGGTAAAATGAGGACCCGGGATTATTGTTGGGGGCAAGAGGCTGACTCTGTAAACCACTTAGAGAGGGCTGTAAAAGCACTGTAAAGCGGTATATAAGTCTTATTGCTATTGCTCTTCTGAATTCTGTTCTATTGTCTATGCTATGTTAGTCTACTCTATTCTATATTATTTTCTATATTATTCTATTCTATTTCTACTCTACTCTATACTAATTTTACTTTACTGTACTCCTGCCTTGCCCTCTGTACTGGGCCACTGAATTAAACCACGTGAGATTTCTTTCGTTGGCACATGGCACACACTGCAAGCACCACCATTCTCCCCATTAACCTGGTTTGGTGTGGGTGAAGCCTGCTAGAACTGTGGTAATCATGATAAGGGAATCTCTGTTCCCATTTTTCAAGCATCCGAAGGCCTCGTCAGAGAGTAGTTTTATTTATTTATTTATTCAATTTATACAGCCACCCACCTCAAAGTAGTGATTCAACTCCTGATACTGGGCAGGGGGTGGACCGGATGGCCTCCAGGGTTCCTTTTAAGCTGGGCGTTTTATGTTTCTATCACTCTAGAAATGCCTGCCAGCTTCCTTTCAGCTCTATTTTTAGGTGATGTCGGAGAATGCTTTTATGCCACAAGATCTTTCCTGCTTGATCTTTTATGTTTCAAAGGTAAGGCCAGTGTCTTTTGTAATATATATATATATATCTATCATTGGGTCTTTTAATGCTTTTTGCTTTTGATGTTTTCTGCCTTCTTTGATCTTTAAATATTGATGGAGCCATCTATTTCTTTCTTTCTTTCTTTCTTTCTTTCTTTCTTTCTTTCTTTCTTTCTTTCTTTCTTTCTTTCTTTCTTTGCTACTATTGCAACATCATTATTATCGTAGCTATTGTTGACGGAAATGATTTTTTTTTTTTTTTTAATAAAAGATAAAAAGCAGAATACGATTAACACGGGTTCTGCTAACTGGCGTTTTTACCCGCCTTTTCCACTTCTCGATAGAGCTTAAAGGCTGAGGACTAGGAGCTTGATTTTTTTTAAAAGCGACACGGCCGCTGATTTTGGGGACCCTGGATTTTGTGCGTATGTGATGTAACCGCAGCGATCAAAAGAACGTCTTGTGCGTGTGCGTGAATTTTTGTGTGTGTTTAAAGACAAGAGGGAAGAGGAGAGGAGGGGAAGGGGATAGAAGGAGAGGTGAGGAGCAGAGAGGCGAGAGGAGAGGAGTGAGGGGAAGGAAAAGGGGAGAGGAGAGGAGTGAGGGGAAGGAAAAGGGGAGAGGAGAGGAGTGAGGGGAAGGAAAAGGGGAGAGGAGAGGAGTGAGGGGAAGGGAAAGGGGAGAGGAGGAGAGGAGAGGAGAGAGGGGAAGGAAAAGGGGATGGAGAGGAGAGGAGAGGAGAGGAGAGAGGGGAAGGGAAAGGGGATACGACAGTGATGGCGAACCTATGGCACATGTGCTGGAAGTGGCACACAGAGCCATCACTCCGGGCATGCCAGCTGTCGCCCGTTGCACTTCCAGGTTCCGGTGAAACCGGAAGAGCAGCTCCCTGGTGTGCACATGCGAGGTGGTCTTGCTCGTCTTTGCGCACCTTGCAAAGCCCGCTCCTGTTTAGGCACTTGGTGCCGAAAAGGTTTGCCAACACTGGGATAGGAGGCCAGGCAAGGAGAAGAGAGAAGAGGAGTGAGGGGAAAGAGGATAGAAGGAGAAGAGAGGAGAAGAGGAGAGGAGAGGGGAAGAGAGGAGAGGAGAGAAGGGAAGGGAAGGTAATGGAATAGAATAGAATAGAATAGAATAGAATAGAATAGAATAGAATAGAATAGAATAGAATAGAATAGAATAGAATAGAATAGAATAGAATGCAGGAAGGAGGAGGAAGGCAGATGTAGTGCCCAACTGCAACTGGGGGTCCTGGATTTTTCAAAAAAGTCACCTGCTTGAGTCTCTGCACAGAGAGACTCCCCCCCAACTCATCCCTGGGGCTTGGGCAAGGCTGGGGCAGTCCCTCCCCCTCCTGACTTCAGGGTGCCCCGGGGCAGAGAGGATGGAAAAAGACCCACCGGTACTCGGCTCACACTCCTCCAGGTCCTCATCGTCGCTGGGACACTCGGCCGAAGCCACCAGCAGGTCGTCTGAATTCTGGAGAGAGGGAGAGAAAGGCCTGGCGGTCAGCGGGGGGGGGGGAATCCACAGGGCTACCTACCACCCCCCCATCCAACCCGCCAGTCCCAACATTCACCAATATTGGCTTTTTTGTTTGTTTTAAAAGAAAAATCTGCCCTTCTCAGTCTCTGGCACAAATTTCTAATTCTTGGTTAGGATTGAAATCCCCCACCCCAACTTCTTCCCTTCTATGATATAAGATGCCCTCCTCCCATTTTTCCCCAACACAACAACTTTGTAAGATAGGTTGGGCTAAGAGGGGTGTCAACTCGCAAAGCATCCCTGGCCTGGGATGCTTTGCGAAGGGGGAGGGGAAACCGATGAAGCAGTACGGCAGCCAAATACAGGAGCACATTCCAGACATATCTCTCTCAAGGCTGTCTCCCAGGGTTACCTACAGCAGCTGGAGTGGTGTGACCTCTACAACCCGCGAAATTGCTCCGTTGGCAAATGTGATTGATGACACGTCCTGGAGGGAGGGTGGGAAACAGGGTCATGACTGGGGCCTAAATTACGTGGGGTCAGAGTTGGCTTCACTTGGGAAAGTGCGGACATGAAGCTCTTAATAAATAACTGGATTTCTTTTGAAGCTTGGCTCGAGACTCATGATTTAATTAGGGCATCCATCGGAACCCTGACAGCAGGCTAGTGCAAAGTGGCTTCCAGGGGTCCTTCAACCAGGCCCCTGTCCATTTGTCTCTGCTTCTGGACAAATGGACAGATGTCCTCAGTCCGTCTTCCCGGTCTGAACTCCTGTCCACACGATGTGACGCCCGCCTGCACCTGCCTGTGAGATCCTAGCTCTGATCAAGATCAATCAATTGGAATAGAGCTGGAAGGGACCCTGGAGGTCTTCTAGTCCAACCCCCTGCTCAAACAAGAGACCCTTTTCTCCTCCTCCTCCTCAGAATAATGCAGTTGGAAGGGACCCTGGAGGTCTTCTAGTCCAACCCTCTGCTCAAACAGGAGACTATGCTCCCCTTCTCCTCCTTTCTTCTCCTCCTCCTCAGAATAATAGGTTGGAAGGGACCCTGGAGGTCTTCTAGTCCAACCCCCTGATCAAGCAGGAGACCCTGCACTCCTTCTCTTTCCTCCTCCTCAGAATAATAATTGGAAGGGAGCTTGGAGATCTTCTAGTCCAACCCCCTGCTCAAGCCAGTGTTCTGCCCCAGCTACAGGTCCCAAGAAGTGTACCACACACACACAGCTCCAAAAACTCCGTTTAATACAAACAGACCCCTTTCAAAATGCAGGCTTTAACCACCAATGTCCTTATCAGCCTGCTATGAATTACAGAGATTAAACAAAGTCCGACAAGGGTTGGCAATCAGCCCAGAAACCAAGTTGTAACAGAAAACTCACTCTCAAAATGCTCTGCGTAGGACCAAACGTTGTTTCCAGCAACGTTTGCTATCTGTGTGCGAACTTAAATAGGCTAAAGGGAGTGGCCAATTAACCCCAAGCCTTACTCTCGAGGAGACCTCCTCCTCAGTAGCCACTCCTGCCTTTTGGCAGCCCTGGGTGCTCGAGCATTGAGGAGAGGCTCCTCCACTTCACTCTCTTCACTTGAAGGAGCCTCTGGAGGTTCTGAAGGCCCAGGCTGAGTCTCTGCCTCTGGCACCACATCCTCTTCAGCCTCCTTGCTATCCAACTCGAGCGCCGGCTGCACAGGCTGCTGGTGCGACACCACACCAGTCTTCTCGGCGTTGGGATCGGCCACAATCCGTGCAGGCCGCTGGGGGGGGCCACAACAGCCGGAGACTCTACACCTTTTCAAAAAGATGGCTGCCCAGACTTTTCTTATAAACCCTCAGTGATGAAGCACCCACAACTTCAGAAGTTCCAGTTGAACCGGTCTGGAAAATGCCCCGGGGGCGGGGGGGGGCGGCGGCAAAGGTGGATGATCCAGGAAGGGTGGGATCTTCTACCCAGGACCTGCCCCATTGAATCAACAAAGCCATCCAAGAGACAGAAGGAAATTTTGGGATGCAGGCTGGAGTATCCCACAGGGGCTTTGAAAATCCCCCCCCCCGTTGCGTTCTCAGAACGTGTCTCATCTGCCGATTCATTTTTGGATGGGTGCAGGGGTGAAATCTACTTACCTTCCTGACCGCTTCGGAAGCGCACCTGCACTGCGCGCGTCACATGCGCACGCAGACCCTCTGCGCATGCGCAGAGGGTAAAAAACACATTGCTTCCTGGTTAAAACCAGGAAGTAACGAAACCCAGGTCGTGCCGGAGCCTCGCGCCGCTATCGCTACCGGTTCTCCGAACCACCTGCCACAATCGCTACCGGATCGCCCAATTCGGTCCGAACCGGGAGTATTTCCCCCCTGGATGGGTGGGTGACACACCAAATGTCTCCAAAGTGGCTTTCCAAAAAGGCAACTGCAATTCCTGCCCTCTCCCCTTTGGAAAAAGAAACAGAACAGAAAAATGCTTCTTGGATAAGAAGCAAAAATTATCTTCAAAGGCCGTTAGCCCTCTCTCCAAGAGTCGTTTGAGGCCACTTGGAGGTTTGTCTGTGTCCTCAGCGTCACACGAGTGATGCACCCTCGTGTGGGTGTGGAGCCTACTTGGAACTGCTGAAAAGCCCGTGTTGTAGACTGGAGAGACATGATGTTCATAGCCCTCTCCCTCTGTCGAGAGAGGGCTCTTCAATTTTGACATATTGGCCTCTTTCCAGGGATGGGATTCAGCTGGTTCGGACCGGTCAGGTTAATTTTAATCTGGTTCGCCGAACTGGTAGTTCCAAGGACTGGCTGACCCTGCCCAACCCATCCTGCCCCTCCCAGGAGTCTCCATGCGGCCCGTTTTGGATGTCAGGTAAATGCAGGGCCCGCACGGAGGCTCTTGGAGAGCAAGAAACGGGCCTCCTAGAAGTTCCTGAAGTGTGGAAACAGGCCCGTTTCCAGCCTCCGGAGTCCGGGGGAGACCATTTTAGCCCTCCTGGAGACTCGAGGAAAGCCTCCTGAGCCTGGGGGGGGGTGTGAAAAGGCCCACCCTGGCCATGGTGCAGGAGGCCGAGTAGGCCATGCCCCCATGGCCACACCCACCCAGCAACCGGGCAACGAACCGGTTACTAAAATTTTTCAATCCCCACCCATTTTGATCCCTCTTTCAGCGGTCCTCTCTGTCCAAAATGTGGACTTTGCCATCTTCAAAAGAGCGGCCTTTGTCTTTTAAATGCAGATGGACTGCCGCATCTAATCCTGATGGTTTTGTTCTCCTATGTTGTGCCATGCGTTTGCGAAGTGGTTGTTTTGTTTCTCCACCAATCTCCTGTCTATAACACGGGCCTTTCAGCCGTTCCAAGAAGGCTCCACACCCATTTGCACCACACGGGTGACCCTGAGGGCATAGCTAAACCTCCAAGTGGCCTCAACGGCCCTCTAAAAAGGATGCAAATGAACCAGCTGTCTGCAGTAAGCATAAATCCTTCCATTCCCCACCATCCAAATCAGAGCTGAAGAAGCTTCTGGGATGAGAAGCGAAACGTCTTCAAAAGAAAAACCAAGAAAGTCCAGTTGCCTCTTGAAAAAAATAGCACCTTTGGGACAACCAGGACCTGGAGGACTGAGAATCTCCATAGACAAATTTGGTGACTTCCCAATCTGCAGCTTTATTTTCGCCTTATTTAAGTATCCCTTGAGACTTTCAAGAAGAGATTGGACTGCCATTGGTCAGAAATGGTGTAGGGTCTCCTGCTTGAGCTGGGATGGATGGGTGGGTGGGGGTTGGACTAGATGACCTACAAGGTCCCTTCCAACTCTGTTAACCTAGTTTAGCCCTGTGGGAATATTGAAACGGGGCTCGTTGGAGAGACTGTGGGGTTTAGGAAGCAGTGAGGTCTAAATGGCCACAAAAACTTTCTCTAAGGGGTTTTTTGGTTTTGGCAGAGCTGCTACCCCCCCCCCTTTTTTTTTTTCCTCTCTCTCTCTCTTCTCTATCCTGCTATGGGCTATTTGTATAGAGCGAGCAGAATTATTTTTGCCAGGTTCAAAAGCAACAAAGAACTTCCCAGGAATGATGGCGAGAAGGATGCCAGGCTTGGAAAATTTCACATTTTTTCTCTCTGCTCCCCGCCACCCCCCCCACCCCACCAAGCTGGCATTAGTATTCCAGAGCGGGCATCGCAATGCATTAATGTCCCTCTACGCCTGTCCAAATTAGCATGACAAAGACTTGGACGGGCCTCTCCGGCAGGGAGTCGGCTGCGGATGGACCCCCACCCCAGAGACAGCATAAAATAAGAGGCAGCTTTACATTCCCCTCCCACCCACCCCCGGTCCTCTTCTCACTTCTGCTTGTAGCGTTCCCAAAGGTGCTTTTTTTTCCCCAAGACTTTCTGTTTTTTTTTCTTTTGAAGACGTTTTGCTTCTCATCCGAGGAGCTTCTCCCGCTCTGACTTGGATGGCGGGGGAATGGAAGGATTGATACAGGGGCGGGCTTCAAAAGCCTAACTCTCCCTTTTAAAATTTTTAAATCGTTTGATTTGTTTTATAAATTGGGTGTTTTAAATTTGTTTTTCGGCCAAAATATTTAATAATTTTAATGGACTTTTAATGTTTGTATTATCTGTATTTTATCTTGGCTGTTCACCGCTCTGAGTCCTCCGGGAGTAGGGCGGTATAGAAATTTGATAAATAAATAAATAAATAAATTTTTTTAGCAAGGGGTTCTCTGCCTGGTTGCTTGGTGGGCATGGCTTAGTCAGCCTCCTGCACCACGGCTGGGGGGCGGTTTTGCCCTCCCCAGGCTCCGGAGGCTTTCCTTGAGTCTCCAGGAGGGTGAAAATGGCCTCCCCAGGCTCCAGAGGCTTTTCTTGAGTCTCCAGGAGGGTGAAAACGGCCTCCCCAGGCTCCGGAGGCTTTCCTTGAGTCTCCAGGAGGGTGAAAACGGCCTCCCCAGGCTCCGGAGGCTTTCCTTGAGTCTCCAGGAGGGTGAAAACGGCCTCCCCAGGCTCTGGAGGCCTT